CATAATATTATTATACCTTTTCAACACCAAATTTGTTTTTATACTAAGGGAGCATCACATTTTTTGAGGTGTCGAAGTGGGGCATGGAGTAAAAAAGGTTAAAAACCACTGCTTTAGATATTCTAATTTCTTGTTTAGTTTTTGTATAAATTTCAAGTTTTTTTATAAACGTGGTTGTTAATGATTTTGCAATGGCGATTGAAATCGTTTGCTTTTATTGTAGTTTTAACTAATTATTCAGTTCAGTAAGTTCCTCACTTCCGCCGGTGGAACATCGGTAAATCTACGGGCTTACAGCCTTAAATCCGGGGTTCGATTCTTCGCGGTGGACACAGAAGATCGCCAAATGTGGCTTTTCTTTACAAAAAAACACAAATAAACAGGTTCCTTACTAAACATACTGCTAGTGTGAACGTGCTTTGTAGTCACTATGTGAAGAACCTATCCAATGTACAAGTTCTTTTCATAGTGACTATAAAGCACGTTCTCACCAACAGTATGTTTGATACTTTTCACTATGATATAGGTCCAGCTTACCTTTCTTTGGTTAACTTGTGTTCAGGGTTACTGATGAGAAGTGAAATTCTCCAAAACTAGTATAACCCAATAACACATGTTGATCAAAGTGTAGATTGAACTGGATCTCCCTTGAACTTATACTTCTAAATTAAATAATTTTCGGTATACTAAGTTTATTTATTAGGTTCCTTACTAAACATCAACTCTATAATTGTGGAACTCAACTTCTTTTTTTTGTTGTTTTTTTTTTTGAAAAAAAGCCTTACAAACTTAACAATCAAATTACGCATCCAATGAAGACGAACTATTATAGATGAAGTTTGACTTTATATAATGAGAAATAATCAAATTCGTTAAACTAGTTTGATATAAATAATAGTAACAAATGCAAAGCCTAGAAAGGAAAAAAATTCAGTAATTATTTGGAAGACGTCATAGTAACGACAGGTTACGTTTCATACGCCCATTTAAAGTTGAATGTCGTGCTAAAATAATTATACTTCATCCTGTAATTTACACGACAAGCTACTCTTATCAACTACCCGGGAATAAAATAATAAAACATTCTTGCGTAGTGATCTTAGTCTATTTATCAATGTGTAAAAGGTGTTATAGATATAAAAGTTAGTTTTAGTTTTGACTTTAGACAAACTTGAATTATTCGGTTGAAATTTATGTTACTCTGACAGTTTGCAATTTAATCAAATTTCGCAGGAAGTTCCGAAAAGCAATTCGGACTTAATGTTTTGTAGTTTTTAGTACACGTACTTTGGAATGGTAAAAATTAAAGAAAATGGCACCTTCAATCTTGTATAAAAGAATTCTTCAACTGTATTTAAAATGTACAAACACTTAATTCTAAAATGAATGATTACTATGATGTTATGTTAATTCGCTACTTTCTCCTGGAAAAATGTAATGAAGGAATTGAAATTTTGTCAGTTTCGCAGGAAATAATATACACTCACGGTAAAAAGAAGTAAAGCGTAACAAACGAATATACATCTGGTAATCTGAAATACGTTCACTAATCTACCACATCTGTAGGTTATTTTCAATTAACTTATAATATTTATAATAAGAATATTTCCTATTTCAGCACAAGCGTCAAGATTCTCACCTGAATAAAATTAACTTTAGAAATGCACTTTGTCACTTGAAGGCATTGATATAAAACACTGCACAAGTTTCGTGCTGCTTTATGTTTAAACAACAGTCTTTCAAACACTGCAACATCTTATCACTAAGTTATACATTTACACTCTGTGCAGATTTATTTTGAAACATTTGGGAAACGAGAGGAAATAATAGACGTGTAAATTTGAATTAGATATTACTATACAATTCCATTCAATAACTGTTAGTAAATTCAACTGACTGGTGTTTCATAAACTTTGACAAATATTCCTACAATGAAGTTAAAGAGCAAATAATATAATTATAATGGAGCCGCCCCCCAGTGACTCATCGATAAATCTGAATGCTTATAACTTTAAAAACCGGGTTTCGATACTAGTGGTGGGCACAGCACAGGTAGCCCATTGTGTAGCTTTGTCAAGAGGACTAATTTAGATACTTAAATGTTAGCAAAATGGCCATAATGTCTTCTATCAATTTAGGACCTATGAGAAATATGAAGCTATTGAAATTAACGTACTATTACATATTTAAATATATTTCGTATATCAATAAATAATATTTTTATATACAGATGGAAAAATGATGGCTGGATGGAAACTGATAGGGAAAGCAAAGAACCCAAACATTGACTTAAACTGTAATTTTGATCACATTTTACATGACCTTTTTAACTGACGTCCCCCGGTGGAAGAGGGGTAATCTTACGGATTTACAACGCTAAAATCCGGGGTTCGATTCCTCGCGGTGGTCACAGCTGGTAGCCCAGTGTGGCTTTGCTCTAAAACAAACAAGCAAATTCTAACTGACAAAATAACGTCGTTTAATCTTTCTAAAGTTATTTTAATATTCTAGGTCAACAACAAGATTTAACGATGAATTTCACCGTTGGTGGGTCCCAGCGTGAAGTTGTTCTCAGTGGTTTGGAGCCTGCCAGTTCATATTTATTAAGCGTCACTGCTGAAAACTCTGTGGGTTGGGGCAGCCAGAGTGAATGGCTTTCAGCCAAGACGCAGCAAGAAGGTGAGAGAAGTTATTACTAAGAAAAAAAGCAGAACCTTCAATGACGATGAATTGTTTTTCTATTTTACATAACAAAGTTGTATTGTGCGAAGAATATATAAACCACAGTAACAGTTAACTACAAAAGGTGTATTTAATACATTGATTGCTATTGGTAGTGTATATCGTAATAGTGATTCAAATTATGTCAAATTTAGAAAAATATCGTTATTTTTAGTCACACTAAGAGAAGTTTATAGAATCTTCTTTTAGGATAAATTTTTCGAACATATCTCAAAACAATCATATTATTCAACCACCCCAAAATAAAACCATCTTACCATCCACCTTAGATAGACGGATAGATAGATAGTCTAATGATGATATCACAGAATTTATTTTATTTTCACCAAAAGTAAAATTGAAAATATAATTTGTGACGTAGAGGCCTATTATATTCTTTGATTCGCTATACGTTCTGCTGTAGGTTGCAGTTTTGTGTATTTATGGTTCATTAGTACAGCTTGGGTTAGCAAAGCAAAGAAACACAGTTAGGCCTCTGATAATAATGGTATGTGTATAATATTTATGGGATTTCAAAGTCCTTTTTTTTAACTCACCATTTAGTAATATAAATTAATTTAGGTGTGTGGATAATATTATGGCATTGCGTCTAATCTGTTATTAAGTGTTATACGGTGGACCACTTGTTTAATGACGATATTACAGATTTCTTTTCATCAAAGGTAAAATTGAAAATATAATAGGTTACTAAATAGAGAGTTAAAAAAAAACCCATAAATTTGAGATGAATATTTTACATAAGTCTACACGAGTCCTTAAAAGTGGTAACTTCATAATTTTCTAATAATTATTCATACAAAACACTGATTTTGTTATGTCGGGATCAAGTTTTCTATAAATTAGTTTTCTCGACACCATTTATTGTTGGCTTGAACAGTTTAGGACAAATAACATTACAAGTGCTTTGTGATAAGAGATGCATTAACATCTTTCTTAATTTGTATTTCATCACACTAATAGACTCATTCGTTACATTTTTTTTAGCACCAAGTGGTCCACCAACTGAAGTCATGGTGCAAGCAACGGGCCCAAACTCAATAAAAGTGGTTTGGAAGGTAAAAAAAAAATCACGTCATCACAGAATTATTGATGTTATTTTAACAGCTAGCTATTCTACTATACTGCACGAGTTCAGAGAACAAAACTTTGCTTGTGTTACCAGTGAGTCCACTAAAGATACAAGAAGGTCTAGTATGGTCTAGTGGTTAAAGCGCTCGACTCGCAATCTGCGGGTCGCGAGTTCGAATCTTCTTTCAACCGTGGGTCAGTCCCACTATTCGTTGGTAAGACAGTAGTCCAAGAATTGGCGATGAATGGTGTTGAACAGATGCCTTCCCTCTAGCCTATGACGTTTAAATTAGGGACGACTAGCGCAGATAGCCCTCGTGTAGCTTTGCGCGAAATTCAAAACAAACAAACCAATACTACAAAAACTTTAAAGTACAATTTTCAACTTGAACAGTACCTTATGCGCACATGGTCTAAACGTTCTGGTCAGAAAAATGAAATAATAAAATCAGGCGGAGTTATTAGGAGTTTGATGCCGTATATTCATTTTATGTTTAGGTGCATATTTGCTCATCTAACACATTGCACTAGTGCTATTTATCAAACGGATAGGAGGTGGGGTGGCAGGTATTTGTGAGGTATCCATATGACTGTTAAAAAACACCGATATACTCTTTCTGTTTAACTTTGTCAAAGGTTTTGAAAAGTTAGTTTAAAAGTAGAAAGGACATAAAATATTCTCAATATCTGTTAACTTGCAATCAAAGCAAGCTACCAGCATACAGCAAAACTAAACATCAATCCGGTAATGAAAGCAGCTAATAAAACATTGTTCTGACGTTCTTACACATAAAGAATAAAAATCGTTGTTTTATAATTTGGGAACCCTCACTGTTAACGGTATTTTGGGCCGTAATCCCAATAATATTTTACGATGTTCGACCATCTTAGGAAATTTAGGTTAGCCTAAATCTATACTAAGAATACGAAGTAATATCTTTAATAAAAATATGGGATTCCCAGTTTGCCCCTGAAGAATAAAGGTCCACCTTTCGAAAGCGCTCGGGTTATAGGGTTTTTTATTCATTTCTATCAAGACTTCTTGAACCTACGTGTTTTTCTAACATCATGAATATAATAAAAATATGATAATAACAAGCCTAAAATAGTAAAAAAAAATGCATTAACCATTTTGACCAACACTATTGATGAGAGTAACATTAAAGAAAGAATGGAATATATCTTAATTTTTGCTTCGTTTATTATCGTAGGCTTAACGTTTTTAATATCTAATATCTGTAAAAGCAAAACTTTACACAATCCACTCTAACAGTCTCGTGACAAATGAAAGTTCGTTAAATGGCTCCGACGGTGTAACTTCATAGTAACCTGCCAACTAAGATAAATTACAACGACACGTGTTACTGTTCAACTATAGCAGAACAGGATAGATAGTACTGCAACAAACGCATGTCTATAAAGATACGAAATATTAAATAATGATAAACTGCAAAACAAACGAACGACTAAATCGTTCAATATATAACCAAAATACTGATACTCCAATTAATGTATAACCAAGTCAAATATACTAAACATACTATGAAGTGTGTCTAACGCAACTAATCTGATTTTAACCATTCCCTGTCACGGATCTATTAACTAGGAGCAATAAATAAAGTTAAATCTTCAGTAGTAGCCAAAAAGTAAACCCTGTAAGATTTGAGATTAAATTAATTAGTAAAACCTAATGTAACTTAACTAACGACGTGATATTACATTATATACGAAGGCCGTCGATAAAACATATCGGCTCGTGATTACCATAACATTTTTCTAAAATATGAACGTGTAGATTGGAAAGTTTTCAAAATATCTATATATTCTACCAAACTTTTAAACCCATAAGAGCAAGCAAAGAAAATTGTTGAATTTCCCGCAAAATTGAATAAATCTGGTGTTCAAAATGTGTTAGGTCGTCAATAAATTAATGTCCCGTTTTGGAACACTTTCATTAACCTCCCCCAAAAAACGTACATCACGTATAATAGTTAAACGAACCGCCTAAACGTCACATTAAGTGTAGCCTATATAATGTGTAAAGTTTAGTATACTCTAATCCCTGATAGTGATGGCACACGACGAGACGCACTTTCGGCATGTAATGCTATTTGAATACAAGAAGGTAAACAACGCCTCTGTAGCCACAAAGAATATCAAAGAAGTTTATGAAAATGTTTTGAACGTTCGTAAGTGTCAGCAATGGTTCAGCAAATTTCGTTCAGGTGACTAGCCTTAAAAATTGTGATGACAGGAGCCGACATGTTGGAATTGATATTGATGCTCTAAAGACGCTTGTTGAGTCTAACCCAAGACAAC